TAGTGAAAAACACAAGAAATTGATCAAAGACAGAGTTTTGTCCTTCTATGTATCTCCCCCTCCCTCCCTCCCTGTCCCGTCCCCGGCGAAGACGAGCACTGCCATCTAGCATTCACTCCGAGTCAACAATAGATTTGAAGACTAGTGCTGCCCCCGTCGCCTTCTGCGCCGGCATGCAGTCTCTTTGCATGTCCCCGAGGACGTCTGCAAGGACTGCAAGGACCATACACGAGGCAGCAGCTACTCCGCGGGAGAGACTTGGCTGGCTGGCGGGGCAAGAGCGGCCTCGCAATCAAACGTTTTCTAAGCAGGTCACCTGTGAAACGTTTCTCCTCTCACGGGAAGGGGAAACGCGTGTTGCCGGGGGTGGGAAGGTAGGGCGGAAGAGAGGAGAGAGAGAGGAAGAGGAGGGGGAGGGAAGAGGCGGTGGCGGGTGGATGGGAAAACTCACAAAGGAGGCGGGCCAACGTAAGAGCACGTGAAGACCCTCAGAGTAAATTACTTTCTCTTGAGGTGTGCACACGTCTTTTGACCAGGTTAATTGAAAATCTGCCTCCGGAGATGTGGCGCTCTCGCTATACAATCATCCCTCACAATGTGATGCAACACAGCTACGCTCTTGTGCATCTCGAGGCCGTTCCTCGACACACAGCCATTCAGCCGGCGACTCGCCCACTCCAAGAGATGCCCCTCTCCGTCTGTGCCTGTCTGTCCGCACCTGCGGCAGCGCTGGCCCAGGGGCAGGGTCAGCGGTCTCCGGAAGCCACGTGGGCAGCGGCACTTGACACATCCGGCGAGGCGCAGCCGTCCCTCGAACAGACGGCGCTTGTGGCAGAGGCACTCTAACCTGAAATCCGCCACAGAAGCGCAGTTCAAGAGGCTGCTGTCCGTGATTGCAACGCAATATATTATTGCCAGCTACTGACCATAAACGTGGGAAGTTTTCAGCTGCGTTATCAGTTGCAGCGTCAGCAGGGGAATGGAGAATGCGCGGAACTTGCACTCCTGCACTGAACAGCAGAGGCGCGGTCGCCGTTCGGTGGCCCAAGCACTCTCTGCGAGGCCGGGATCCATTATTGTTACGCTGACAAGGGCTTCTGCACAGCCTTTACTCCCGCCCATCCCGTTAGTGCAAGCGAACGCGGCCGCACAAACACAGAAGAAAATAATGCATACTCGACAACGCACACAGTAGTGTGCTGTGCGACACCACTTGACACAAACTAAACTGAAGGGTGAAAAATGTAATTTCTGAGGTGAAAAGTTGGCAACATTCCTGCCATCGTTCAGGCCGTGATGTGATGCCCAGTCGTCGGGGCGTGATTTCGTCTCCTTTTCATGCCCTTATATTCATATTCCCAAATGGTGCCTTCGGCCAGGTTTCTTTTTATCATGAGAACAAAATGTGAAAATGGAAGTTGAATGAATACTACCAGACTATAGCCTTAGGAAGGCAATGCGAGCTGAAGCCCTCTTCGTGGGTCACATGGCTCCGCATCATCACACATTTAGGTGCCCTCAAAAAGTCAACAATACGGATTATCAACATAGGTAATGTTTAAAAAAGGAAAACATCTTGTGGGATTTACACTGATTGTTTTCCTTCGGTGAGGAAAAACAAATATTTAGGGGAGCTCGAGCTTCCTTCGGCTAAACGTGTCCATTTGAAATTTAAAAAAAAATCTGCGTCAATATCCCTTCTGAAGGAAGGCGATTACCATAACTTCCTTCAGCCCTTTTCTGCGTAAGGATCTCTCTCTTCCTGCCTCTCTGCCAGTGGCGTGACGGTCGCCTTCGCGTGAGTTCATTACCGCACTCTCTCAAACACCGACGTCGTCACTCCGCCGTCTCATTTCTCATCACTATGCAAATGCGGAAGGTTAAACAATGTAGAAGTCTGTTTAACAAATCTTCCCTGTACGCCCTCCGCCCCCCCCCCCTCCATTTTTCATCCCCCTTTCACGTCAACATCCGGCTCGTCAGCTACGCCGCGTATGAATAACTGGCTTCGTCTTACGAAAAAATTCTACATGTCAGGAGGCCAACTCGGGAAGAGAACACCCCATCTGCACACCACATTCCTTTAACACTTAACTGCAAACTCTCGCTGCCACAGTATACGATCACGGAGCGCACTCGAACCCCATCTCTCACTCAAACCAGATACGAGGACAATCGGGGGGAGGGGCTTAATTGAAGCGAAACAACACTCCCGAAGCGTGAGAGGATCCCTGAGCACCAGCAGCTATTCGGCCGAGCGCACCGGACGCGCCTCGCAAGAAGGTCCAGCCCGACCAAGCGGCGACGCGGCTCCCACGCCGATCATTCGCCTCGCCGTGACCTCGCCCGCTAATCCTAGCAACAGGATCCTCGGCCAGATGTCCTCAAGGCGTCCGCATGCCTGCCTCTTCCTCGCCAAGGCTTCCCACATGCAGCCATAATGACAGCACGCAAACACGTGTCGAATAAATACCATCTCGAAGCTGGCCGCAAGCACAAGTTCGCCTCAAACAAGCACGCGCGCTGGCGCCAATCGGGAGGCTCAGCAGGCGCAGGAGGTTCGCGTTGTCCTGCGGTCGCCGGCGCCGCCGATCGGATGGCGCAGGGGAGGAAGTGGCGGGGGTGGGGTGGGGTGGGTGGGGGCGCTCTCACGCATACAGCCTGACTGCTTGCTTGTGTAGAAGAGGTATGAGTGTGGGAGTTTGTTTGCTTATCTGTGTGTGTGTGTGTGTGTGGTGTGTGTGTGTGTGTGTGTGTGTGTGTGTGTGTGTGTGTGTGTGTGTGTGTGTGTGTGTGTGTGTGTGTGTGTGTCATGTGCACCGGGTTGCTGCGAGCCGGGCGGCGTGGCCTCCCGTAGGACGCGAGGGGCGCACGTCCTCGGAGCCCTTAGTCCGGCAGCTTTTCTTGGAGGCTGCAAAGCGGGGCTTAATAACACTAGGAATTCAGCAGGATCCATCGAAGGGCTGACCATGAATCACACTTTCGACTCCGCAATGCCCCCTTCCCTCTCCCTCGCCAGAAGAGGAGCAAATAAGCGCCCCCCCCGCCCCCCGCCATCCCTGCCCCTCCGCACAGGATCCCAACGGTAAACAAGATCGACTGGAGTCAACAGCTGACTGGCTCGGGGTTGCGAGAGATCCCTGGCAGTAGGCCGGCCGGCTTCTGCGCCGACGTCCGCTCGTCGAAGCGATCACTTCGCCTCGCCCTTCGCCTTGCTTCCCTTGCCTCGCTTCACTTTGTCCTCTTCGTGCTGTCGCATTGCCATATGGCTTCTATTCCGAGACTGCCTTTCCTTCTATAACCTTTCCTTGGCCCGGTCCATTTTTGTCGCCTAGTTTTGTGGATATTCTAACCGTTCTCCCGCGCACGGTGAATCCTTCATCCTCTATCCCCCAACAGAATTCCCTCCGCTGCCAAATCCGAAACATGACGCGAATTCTTGCGCTCATCCTAGGGAAGCAGTTCGCAGGAATCTAAATTGATGCTATATTCACAACCACTCTAAGAGATCTTAATTTGGCCACAAAGACCAAGAGAAACGACCAGAAATACCGGAAGATCAGAGGAAGCCACTCGAGGTGAAAGGGAGAAGCACACTTGGTCGTCGTTTCTCACAAGGCCAGACGACCGAGGCGAAAGGAGGGCGAGCGCCTGCAGCGCATGGCGCCCGCTGCCCGAGCGCGCGCTTCAGGCTTCAAGCAAGCGCCAAGGGCGTTGCAAATCGACGAGCGCAAAGATGGGCGACGAGGGCGGCAGGAGGGGGCGGAACGAAAGCTTAATGATGTAGGTTTGGGAAGGGAAGGAAGAAGGAGAGGGAGAGAGGTTTGGGGCGAAAGTAGAGTTGGAAGCGCGGGCGTGGAGGGGCACGGGTGTGGAGGGGCGTGGGCGGCCACAGGGCGGTCGTGACGCAGCCTGACCGCCGCGCTCCCTCGGCCTCATCGACCCACAAAAAATCCCGTCGTCCGTCATAAGGCTGATGGACGAGAGACCAGTCCGAGACCGCGATCGCACCAAGGCGGTCAAAAATATAAAGTAAAATGCTAAACCTCGACATCCTCTCCAAAAACAATTTAGTTCAAAGGAAACTGGGTGGAGAGATCCGAGTAATTTGGACTCGTTCGCCGCTTCCAAGGTGGTCTCCATTAATCCAATAAAAAGGTACTGGTACCAGAGAACTGTTCGCGCCGCCCTCTCGGCCGACCCGCGGGCCAACGCCACGTGGAGTCGCGAGGGCAAAAAACATGAGCGGAGGCGAAGGAAGCGACAAAAAACGTCGCGGCTGGAAGTCGGGATGCCTTCGCCGCCAGGTCGGACGACGGACGCTCGTGAAAGTGGCTGTATCCCTTCACCTTGGGACGCGCCATGCGAAGGGGCGCCACCACTGGAGTGAGTGAGCCTTGGCACCTCTGCCACAGTGAAGTGTGATGCCGCCACCTCTCGGACCCGACCACGGTCGAGCAGTCCTCTCAGTGATATTCGTGGAAGATGGCACTCGGAGCGGCCGCGGCCGCTAAGTGGGGGATACATGGCGGATCGCATACCCTCTGCAAAATCTCCTCCTCACGCTCAACTTCCCAGATGACCCTGAACGGGGAAGGTCAGCAACTGCCTTCCCTGCCCAATGCTCGACACCCCCGCCCGCCGCCCGCCGCCCGCCGCCCACACCACGGCTCCTCTGCCAAGAGGACCATGCTCCTAACTAAAATAAATCTTGCAAAACTCGCGGTTCCCTTCCTCATTTCCTCGAAAGCTGAAAAGGAAGTGAACGAGAAACGAACAGGAGAATAAGTGAAAAAGGAGGGGGAAAGAGAGAAACCAACGTGTTAGGCCTCACGCGACGCCGAGGTCACAGCGATCAAAAACTACACACCAAACGCAAATCCCAAAAGAGGAGCTAAAGCGCGCATTACGGAAAGCGTCTCTCGAGGCTGGGTGTCGCCTTCGTTGGGCAGCGAACCCGCTTTCCACTCTAAGGGCTCTTCCCCGTGTGGGACACTTACCCTTCGGGCGCAGTTCTCAAGGATGATGTACACGTTGGCGTCGTCCTCGAAGTAGTGGTGAAAGCGGACGACGTGGCGGTGGCGCAGGTGCCGGTGGACCTCGATCTCGCGAGCGATCTGTGCAAAAGAAAAGAAAAATACGTCAGTGGAAGAAGCTCCGACTCCATGAGCAATAGCTATCGGCTATCAAGAATAATTTGAGTGATGCACATCACACGACAGATGTATTAATAAAAAACGTGTCAAACACGTAATGAGGAATCAGCCCCGCAGGAAAAAAGAGGACTCCCTTGAACACGCGCACGTCACGTCACGGCAGCCGATTCGGGTCCGCCGCCGCTACTTCACATAACACGTCACCGCCGAACACGGCACAGCCCTCCTCTACGACCGGAAGTCGACACAGCAGAACGTAAACAGGTAGGGCTTGATTACCTCTTCTTCCTCCTCGTGACCCCGGACGCTCCAGAAATAGACGGCGAACTGAGCTTTACACAGGCGCTGCCTTACTCTTGGACATCAGAGAAGAGAAAACACTTGCGTCCATCACCCTCTGTGCCTTCAGCCGTCAGCCCACCGAGTTCCTGACCACCTGTCAGTCTGCGTGGCAGCGCAACCGCGCGCGTCCAGCAAAACCGTCAGCATTATACCATGAGCCGTGGGCGGTGGGCGAGGTCACAATGAGAGTCCGCGGTGCCACCTAGTCTCTGGGCGGAGCACCTTCGACCTGCGCCCCGGCAACCCCCAGACCTACGCCCCCGCACCGCAACCGCCCGCGCAGACAAGCAGTCCGCAAGAATCATACACTCAAATACATTCGTCGTCAACATGGAGTACTCTCGCCTTCATTAGCAACAGGTGCGCGGCGTTAAAATAAGACATTTTACGAGCACGCACGCACGCGCGCGCGCGCGCGCGCGCGCACACACACACACACACACACACACACACACACACACACACACACACACACACACACACACACACACACACACACACACACACACACTCTTATCGGAGAGAATCGGCTCTGCACCTTGAGGAAGGGGAAGCCAAGGGGAGGCCAAGCACCCTGAGCCCTCTCGCAAGGGCTTTAACTTCTCCCTTAATTGAAAGTCGAAACCCACAAACTGGACGAGGGCAATTAACGCTGTCTGAGGGCGAACCCACGTCACGTAAGGGCCGAGCGAGGCCCGCGCTTGGGATTCCGCACAGGAAGCGAGGCGGGAGGAGGGAGGAGGCAGGAGGAAAGGGGGAGGGGGAGGGGAGAACGAGGAAGAGGGAGGGTGAGGAGGGAAAGAGTGGGAGGGAGGGAGGACGAGGAGGCGAAGGGGTAAGGGGAAGGGGAGAGGGCAGGAAAGAAGGGAAGAAGAGGGAGGGGAAAGAAAAAAGACAGGAATAGGAGAGGAGAAAAGAGGAGGGGAAGGAAGAGGTGAAAGGGAACGCAAAGGGCGATGAAGAGGCGAAGGAGGAGACGGAGGAGGAACTATAAAGAAAAGCGACGTGGCGGCCAGCGTCCTCTTCCCTCCTCTGGTGTCCTCAGAGCTTCGGATAAAATCATGGTCAGTCTCATTAACCAAGACAACTCAAAAGCAGTTTAAGAGCACGACAGAATCAAGAGTTTCGACTCGCGGCTCAAAACAATTATGCGGCAAAGAAAGGAAAAGTAAGGCCGGCCAATTTCGCCCCGACGGCCAAGAGAAAACGAGAGTGGGCGTTCCTCCTCCTCCCAGACGCGCCTGACTCAGCGCTCCCGGCCGGCCAGGGAGGACTTGCGTATTCCCTCAGACGCCGCACCCGCCAGGGACGCCGGGACGGGAGCGCTTCTCTTCTGTCGAGGAATATCTCTGGCTAATCCAGGAAAGAAAGGAAACAATACCCCACGGCATAAACATATGCTCTAATAAACATGATTTGTATTCACAGGAAAGTGGATTGAGGGAATGGGACTTATGCCAAGCAGGGTGCCTATTAGACAAACCTTGAAGAAGTTCTCTGGATACTCTTACGTTCGTCGCTGAATCATGCGAACATACGAGCGACGAGGCAGATGGGAATCCAGGCCTTGCAAATATCGAATTCTAATTGTAATAGTTTATTTAGCAAAGGTGTTCTTTCAAAGTGGAAAGGCTACTTGAGTGCACTGGCATTTCCATCGCTAAAGCAGCGAGACGAGCAATATCTGTTTGTAACTATTTCACTCGCGATTCTAAAATCGTGGCGCCACGTTCGCAGAGGAGCTTCCTGGTCTGACGGAAATCCGGCAGATCGCGACGTCTCGTGAATGTTTCGGTGATATTGGCAAACTTTCCAGTTACAACTCCACCGGGTCTTGTTGGAGGCGTGTTCGGCTGATTCAGCGCACCGGGTGCGAAGCCAAGTCTTATGCAGGTCATACGCACAAAGCTCTTTTCTGTAATCTTTCTAATTTGATGGTTTCAGAGTTTGTGATGAACGAATGACGTGAGCCTCGCCGCCGCTGGCCCTTCTCAAAGGATGCCTCATGCTCTGAAATCAAAATCGCAACCCGAGACCGCACTCCACACAGCGCATTCCTCAGCACGCGACGAAGCTTACGAAGTGCGCGCCGCTTCGCACCTCGGGACTTACGCAACATACGCCCTCAGGTAGTAATCCCTGGCACAAGCACAATTAAGACAGGCCTCTGAATACCTCGAACCTCGCACTCGGCATTCATCGCAGCCACTCGGTTAAGACGACTAATTACATCTAGGTGGCGTCCTGTGGGCGAGGTCGTCCGGCGAATACAAAACCAGGGAAGTGGACGCACGTCACTTGCTGTCCTGCCGGTCTGGATCTACTGGACTCGCACCGAAACGTTTGTGAAGAGCGACAAATAAGGTCAGTCCTGCAGAAGAATTGCTGTTCGAGCGAAATGAAACGTTTTCTAAGCAAGCCAGCCAAAGGGAGGCGACGGACGCCGCAATAAGGTGAGTCCAATTCGTACCCTCATCATAAATAAAGAACAAAGACCGACATGACTATTGCAAATGTGAGGCTGAAAACTACTTTCTCGTTGCGGCGGGGGACCCCTTCTGACATGTACATCAACATGATTAATCTTCCTACGTGACCTCATTTCGGGTTGGTTGGCCATGCAAAATCAACGGTAAATGTCTCCTCCCCTAAATCAAAACCAAGCCACAAGCTAAAGATTACAAGACCACACTTCTACTTTCATCCAACAAAGGATGTCGCGCGCCTTGCCGAGGGCGCAGCTTGGACCAACGTGATCCACTCTCGCGCACACAAAACGCCCACTTCGCGTAGAATCTAAAACATGACAGGACACCACCCAACAACCTGCCTCGCCTCTCTCCTTCGCCCCACAGGCCCAGCGGCCACTCAACCCCTTACGGCCCTCACCTGCGATGCGCTGCACTGCCGCCATTCGCGTTAAATGATATCGAGCATAGATCGCGTCAGCGGCGTCGCCTGGCCCGAGATCAGCATCGCAGCACGACCGCGCGAATCAGAAGCACGATTATTCGTTCGCTCCACGCGGTCAAGGGGAAGTGTACGTAAATCTGTGTATAATAATCAACAATATGAACGCAAGAACAATAATAATTCATCCGATTAAAACAATGACCGAACTAGTATGTACTTTCGACACGAAACGTCTTTGGAAATACATTAAGGAAGCATTTAGAGAATGAAAGACTGCTTGTCGAAAGGATGTTGAAAACCGCGCGAGTGGCCGAATGATAAAAGACGGCAGCGAGAACCGCGGGACACCGTGATGGATGATAGGTAGACACGGGGCACTCAAAGTCGCGCCTAGACGAATGCGTAAGGGGGTGGGTTGGGAGGGGGTGGGGGTCTGGGCCTGTGTGGGCGGTAAGGCACAGGGGAGGGAATGGACTATTGGCAAAAAGGAAACACCATGAATGATTGGTTAACATAACGTGCCTCAATTCTTTAAATGGTTCTACTAAAACTAAGAAACCAAAGAATCACTGAGATGATCATGACTTTGACAAAAAAAAAAAAAAAAAAAAAAAAAAAAAAAAAAAAAAAAAAAAAAAAAAAAAAAATGGTGTCGACGTGTAACCTTTAATAACCAACAAAAATAACCTCTTTTAAAACTACATTGGTTTGCTTCACCCTATTCTTCCTCGTGGCGGCAGAAGTGGGAGAGGGAGGAGAGGCGGGGACACAAGCGACGTGCCGGAGGCCTGGCGTCATCCCGCCTTAATGTGCGTATTGTGTTGCTTCTGATAACCCTCCCACCGGCCTTCACGGCCCATTCCCGCCCCGGGCGCAAGCGCCATCCTTCTCCGCAACTATTGCTCCGCGCCGTCAGCGGGCCGCCCTCGAGAGAATGCGAGGCCGTGGGACTCGAGACAACGGGATAGAAGATCAATCACTCTTTTCCTGCCTGCCCGTCTGTCTCAGTGTCTGCCTGCCTGCCTGCTGCCTGTCTCCTGATGTCTCTGCCCGTCTGTCTCAGTGTCTGCCTGCCTGCCTGCCCGTCTGTCTCAGTGTCTGCCTGCCTGCTGGTCTGTGTCTCAGTGTCTGCTGCTGCCTGCCGTCTGTCTCAGTGTCTGCCTGCCTGTCTCACTGTCTCAGTGTCTGCCAGCCTGTCTCTCTGCCCCAGTGTCTGCCTGCCTGCCCGTCCAGTGTCTGCTGCCTGCCGTCTGTCTCAGTGTCTGCCTGCCTGCCCGTCTGTCTCAGTGTCTGCCTGCCTGCGTCTGTCTCAGTGTCTGCCTGCCCTGTCAGTGTCTGCCAGCCTGTCTCTCTGCAGTGTCTGCCAGCCTGTCTCTCTCAGTGTCTGCCTGCCTGCCTGCCCGTCTCTCTCAGTGTCTGCCTGCCTGTCTCTCTCAGTGTCTGCCTGCCTGCCCGTCTGTCTCAGTGTCTGCCTGCCTGTCTCTCTCAGTGTCCTGCCTGCCTCTGTCTCTCTCAGTGTCTGTCTGACCTGTCTCTCTGCCCCAGTGTCTCTGCGTCTGTCCATGTCTCTCTGCCATGCCCTCTGTCTCTCTCAGTGTGCCTGCCTGCTCCTGCCTGCCCGTCTCTCTCAGTGTCTGCCTGCCTGTCTCTCTGCCCCAGTGTCTGCCTGCCTGCCTGCCCGTCTCTCTCAGTGTCTGCCTGCCCGT